GAATGAGATTCTTCCATTCCTGAGGATCTAAATAAACAGAGTAGGTTTTGGGCTGAGCATAGGTTAGACCAAGCCTCATTTATATCAGAGCTCATTACTGCTTTGGAGGTGCAGCAGCAGTATTGTGAGTACTGATGAGTCTCTCTATCTCTAATGCTCTCCATCTGCTCCTTCCTTCTTTCCTATCACAAACATACACGCTCTGCCCAGGAAGGGTAGAAAGACGTTGAACGGTCCATTGCATCTTCTGAGCCTTAGTCTTTTTGTCTGTGTGCATTTCCAGGGCCCAAAGGGAGAAAATGTTGGTTCGATCACTCAGCCTCTTCCCAGCAGCTACTTAATTTTCAGAGCAGCCTCCGAATCGGATGGTAAGTTTTGGTCTTTGTTTGCTTTCTCTAGATTGCATACTCTGTGCTAGTTAAGAAAATAGGTTGATGCAAAAAAAAAATTGGTATGTAAGGGAAAAAATGGCGGCTCACCCAGCTTGAGGTGCCGTTCGTTCGCAATGGTTAGAATAGGTCACGCAGACTACAGGCACATTTCTGTTCCTCACTGAACAGCCACCTTTCTGGCTGTGTGTCTGGAACAAGGACCTAGGCTTGTAGCTGGGGCAAAAAACACTAAGTCAGTATATACTAAAAGGAATTGATCCCAAAATTGGGATGGGAAGGGGGCTTAACAGTTTCCTCAGTTCAGCAGAGACTTTAGTGGGTTATCTGCCTATGCCTTAACGCTAGGTAGAGATGTGTTGGGGGGAAATGACATAGTAATATTGAAGAAGCGTTGATAGATGTCTCTCAACCACCAGAATTCTGCTCTAAACTGGCTGTACCATGGTTTACAGTGTAGCAGTCCCAGATACTGGTGACTCCACATGTAAAATACTATTCAGGGAATTCAGAAAATTGTGGAAGGTAAATTTAGGTCAATATATAACAGGCATGCCAGCTTGCTATGTGAAAATCTCTATAAATTACATTAGTGGACCTAAAATATCAGTGATTTATAAGTAGATAAGAAGATTAAAAACATGTTTTCATTCCATTCGACCTTCAGACTACTGTATTTTTTTTTGCCGTAGCAAATTAACCCAGACTGTTCATTTTATGGATATTTTTCACCTACCCCACCAAGGGTGCTTATGTAGCCTGTGTGCTCCTTTGGTCTCAACTTTAAGAACACAAGGATCACTGTGGGCTTTGAAAGCAATGTCCTTCTGGTCCAGTGATTAAGTTTTACATGTTCCTAAAGGCTGGAAGTGGGACAATGCCAAACACACCTTTGATGTGGCACTTAGAATAGGAGGAAACCTTCTTTCATTACAGGCTTGGTGTGCTGTTCTTCCTACTGTTGTGCAAAGTGGGCTCTTCATAGTGAGGGATACCATCTCGACACTGAAAGCTGCCTGCAGATGCCAATGTAGTGAAATGATATGAAAATAAGTGGAACTTGTACAGAGCCATAAAAGCATGTCTGTTTCCTTGAATATTACGCTTTTGTAGCTTACGGAACAGTGCAGCTTATTTGTGTAAAGGAACACAGGATTCCAACCTGGCTCCAAATATCACCTGTCTAAAAAGGGATAGATTGATACAATAGTCTCTTGGGGGAAAAAAGTGGTGTTGGGGTAGAGCTGCTAAATTACAGGCATTTCAAACCCTGGTTATACAGACGGCACAAAGAACAGGTGCATGGAACAGTCCCAGAGTTCTTAGGCAACCAAATAGCTTCAACAACTGTCTGTCAATCTAGATTTTCTAAATTATTATTTCCTTAGAGATCCATGTAACTTGTCTTTCCATGGACTTCATTAGAAAATGCGCAAAGGGACCAATGCGGTCACTGTATGTGTTCAAGACAAATTGCTGTTTCATAAAGTACATTTTTTCTGGCATTTCAGCTATCTTCTAAATGAAAAATTGCATTCTGGTAGAAACCTAATGATTAAACCTTAAAACCAGCCTGGCAAAGAGACCTGTGGCTGAACTTCTACTCCCTCTTTTTATGATGACTGCCATAGGCCAGTTATGTGGAGTAGAACAGCTTTAGATTTGTTCTAACCAACCTTACCCATGAAGGCTCCCAAGCCTAGCAATAGCTCCCAGGAGATCATCAGAAGTAAGACTTTTCTAGCTGTGATCTCTCTGTCTGGGTCATATGCCACATGCTGAAAAAGCACAAAAGGGATCATATCTGGCACATGAGAGTTTTCAGTATTTAAATGCCTGTGGGAAGCTTTCTGCCCAGTGAATTATTACATGTCTCTGGTGTCATAAGAGCTTAAAATAGTGAGTTACTGGAACATATTTTTAATGCCAAGATATTGGCCAAGATTCTTGGGAAGCATGCAGAGGTCAGGCAGATCAAAGTAGAGTTACTTTAGGATTTAGTATGATTTTCCTTTACTTTGCTGCTTTTCTACAGCAGGGTCTTAAGATTAGATGGAAAGCAAATGTGATCAAGGGAAGGAGGAGGAACTGAGATACCTTTCAATCAAATATCATAAACATGTGCGTAGAAAATTATTAGGGCCTTTGATTAAGGATTAAATAATATATGTTCTGGAACAGCACTCGCAATGCCCTAGAACCACCTGCACAGGTTTGGAGCGCCCACATTATGCCTGGTAGATCCTGAGAGTCAGAGGACATGACCGTGACAGCTGATGTGAAGTGAAGCTTTGGGATCTGTCCACTTAGCAGGGGACTTCACAAAACAATTTGATACAGTACTGCACCAGAAATACTGGCATGAAAAATGGTGTAATTTTCGGCTGAATGAGAGTATTTGACTTCACAGCTGAGGTCAGTGAGCTGTGAGAAGTGGCTGTACCTTGTGCAGGAAGGGAAGGATGTGAATCTGCAGACAGGAGGGAAGAACAGCTTGCACACTCAGGCTAGCCTCCCTCCCAAACACAAGAGCTGTCCCGGGATGCTGACTGTGCTGTGCTCCTTTTGTTTGTGAGTTAGCCTTCGTGGGGGCAGTTTGGGGATATCCACTCCATTGAGCGGCGTAGACATGCTGACAAATGGCCAAACACACGGGTGTCACACTCAGTGATGAGTGACTTGGGGATGGTATTAACGTCAGTAGGTGGTGTAAAACATATGCAGACAAGGACACAAGCAATAGGAACTGTTCATTTAAAGAGATCTGTATAAACTGCAGCAAATTAAGGCTTGCACTTTGCAATTAATACAATTTGGTTTTAAGCCCAGAAAACACAACCAAAATGGTTGTAGACTGTTATATAGCTCGACTTGTTTTAAAGAGTTATCTCCAAGAGGGTGTACTTGTGTTTGTTCCATTTCTTTAATGCACTGGACAAAAATAGAGGGTGCAGTTATGGTCAAGAGAGAGAGGAGATTAAGGTAAAATGAGCTAAGCTAGCTGACACAAATGGAGCAGGTGGAATCTGTTCCCTTGCATAATGTCAGTGTATATTTGTAGTATGTTCGTGTCTCCTCTGCAGATGCAATATTGTGTGAATCTACAGCATCTCTGGGGAGGTGTCCTGACCCTGTTCTTCCTAATGCAGTCTCCCCTGTTAGTAGCGGAAAATGAACCACAGAGCATTTGGCAAATTTAAGAGTAAATTCATGGAGGCCTCTGACTTGCTGGGGAATATTGGGTTGCAGCATATGTTAGATATACAGTTCTGCTATCCAGGCAACTGTATCATGATCAGCAGCTACATGGCCTACTTTTTCTCTCAGCGTTTCAGAATCACTTTTTTCCTCTCTGCCGTACCATCTGTGACAGACCGTTGGTAGGGTTTAAGGTCCTGACTTCTGGACAGCCTGCAGAACCACCGCCAAGCTATAGTAGATTTCACATGCACAGACCGCAGCAGCAGTCTGCTTTGTGATGTGTTTCAAAGACGTCTGGAAGGAAGGTCATGTCAACCTACAGGGCTCAGCCTGTACAAACACAGGGTCTGTCTGTCTTAGCAGTTTCAGAAAAGATAGTTGCTTTTTCCAAAGCAGTGACTGTGTATGCATTTCGGATTTATGCTGTAGAGTGGCTTAGAATTAGTCGTTTAAACCTGTCCGAAGCTTCCTGCCCGGACTGTTCTGGCGCTGCCCCTGAGATCTCCAAACCAGTGCCCCAGATCTCCTAAGCATTTTGAGTCACCTGCTTAAATCTTGTAGTGCAGATCTCCACCTTGCCACGGGCGCTGCCACCAAAGGGACTATTAGGGGAATTCAAAGTGGCAGATTACCGAGGGTTAAGGGTTTAACAATGGAATTGTAAACCACACTTACATTTTGTTCCTTAACGTCTGTCCTCTCCTTTAGGCATGCTCTGGGTTGCCTGATGAGGATGGAATTGTGTAGAAATCCTGATGGTCTGGCTTACAGTGGTGGTGTTTCTTTGCTAGGCACCTGGCCCTTCCCCCCCAAATTGATGCTCTGATTTGAGGAGGAATTTAGATGAGTGAAATAAGGCTCACACACAGAAGCAGTTAACCAGGAGGCAGATTGCAGTTTGAAACCAAGTTCACAATGAAATATATCACTGGATCCTGGCAGTACTGGAAAAAATAGAAGTTACCTTCTTAGCTTTATGTCTGCCCCTCATATTCCTTAGATCTTTCACAGCAGTTTAAAATCCAGACATTTGCAACCAGACTTCATTTAGCTCGGTGCACGAATTGCACCTGCAGCTAATTGGGAGATTGTATCTTGCATCTTGACAGCCAAAGTGTAAGAAATCATGCACGCAGGCACCCAAGTGGTACAGCAAAATGAGCAGTCAGCTGAACACAATGACCTTAATGTTCACTGACTGAACCAAATCAGCCTCTTCCTCATCATTTGTGATTTGTGTGCACTCGAGCAAGAATTCATCGTTTCCAGGTGACAGTCTACTTCAGGTTGATTTTTGAAAGCATTTATCTCCTAAGTTTGAGGCACGAGGCCAAAAGCTGGATGACATTAATAATTCAAGAAAATAATATTTCTTTAGTGATGCCTCTCTGGAGGAAAGTGTGGTTACTAGGTGTGAGGCTTTTAAAGTCTTAATTGTCAAGAGATTCATCCCAGCTGTTCCGTAGCTACAGGAATGCAATGGAAAAAAAGTGTAGTCCCAGACTGAGATTTCAGTGTGCAGCGATGTGATTCCATCTCAAGCAGATTTTTGTTATTGGTGAGTGCTGAGAGAACATTGGCTGGCTCCTCTGTGATCAGCTGTTGCAAAATGTGGCAGGTAGACTTGGCACGTCAAATTATGTGTTGTTCTAGGTGAATGATGGTGACTAAAGAATTTCAAAACTGAATAGCTTAGTGTTTTCAATACTGCCTGTTGTGGTTTTTTTTTTCTGTGGGATACTGTAATTTTAGACCTGTTCAAAGACTAGGACAGACTCAAGTTATTCCTTGAACTGAGCCTAGGTTAGCAGCATAAGCAACCTTTGGTTGTTATGGTTTTGTTTTCTTTCCCCAAGAGGGAGAAGAAATGGTTTTTGTCACTTGATTTTAGTAGTTCCATTTGTCTGTTAAAGAAAGAATGGGTGCAAGTGCATGCCTGCTCCTGTTCAGCCTTGCAGCCTCCAGGTTTCCACGTGGTGCCAGCAGTGCCCTGTGGACCCAGGAAGCATCCTGCAAGGAGCTGTACTGATTCACATTTGCACAGCTGTGCTGCAGGAGTCATCTCAAAGGACCACAAGGTGCTTTTCCAGCCTGCTAAGCCAAAGGGCTGGGAGAAAGCATATGGAAGGTTTCAAAACGTACGTGGGATGCACGTTCAGGTTTGTTTTTCCAAAGTCAAGGCAACACACGTCCTTTATTAGCTTTTTTTCCCCAAAAACCTTTCAAGAAGGAAGGAGCTTTGGAACCCAGGTGTTTTTTAACTGATTTTCCAAAGAGTTTCCTTTTCCAAATTGTCATTGATTACTTGTCGCCATTTTGCTGTAAACACATATAATAGAGAAAAAGGGCTACAGGCCTACTCAGGGGAGACACCTTTTTTTTTTTGCAGTGAACACAGCTGAGTGATGTGCGGATGTGTTCCCCTGGCATCCCACTTCCCTGGGACGTCTGTCACATGCTGAATGCTGTGACCATAATTTGCTAAAGCGATGCAGGGAGTGGATATTGAAATCAATGGCCAGTGCAAGGAGAGAGGCTGCTACCAAAGAGAGCAGGAACCCCAGGCAGCGCTAGCACTCTGGTAGGACATCCACTTCTGGTGCTTTGGGAACAGCCTTGCCAAAGAGTCTCACTCTTCCCCCATCATTCCTGGAGGGAGACAAAAGTGGGTGGGCAACCTGCCCACCTGACCAGTTCAGGTGCCGAAAGATGGGTGATGTGAAATGTTCTCCTTGTGCTGGCTGCCAGTAGGAGTCATCTAGCGGGACTTGACTTTGCACGTCAAGTTGGGGACTTTCTCTGGGTGGGGTGTTGTTTCTCCCCGTTATTATCCTCACTGAGACCTCTGTTAGCTTGGATGAAAGATTCCTGTTTTGTAATCCCTTCTACGTGGCTTGTGAGGTATGTGGGAGGATTATGGACTATTTTACTCTCTCCGTCTTTCATCCTTCCCCCTCTGCAGCCCAGGTAAGAGCCAGGGCTTACTCTGCAGGCTGCCCCTTGGAAGTCAGGGACAAAATACTAAATACAATGAAGAAAGGGTCAAGCTCAGGAATAACATTTGAAAGGGAATACTTAGTTCGCAGCTCCCAGGCAGAAGGAGGTAATGCAGATGGTTTTGAGACAATGTGATCTCTGCAGAAATTGTCCAAAAGTGATCACTGTGGTGGATAGAGAAATATATCATTTGATATCAAAAGAGCTTAAAAGCCTATGGGGAAATTCTGTCATAGGCTGACAATATGCTCTTGGGTTTTTCTTCAGAATTTAAACATATGCTTGTTTTAAGCCACAGTTTGTGGAAAATCATAACTGATATTTGATTGCAGTGTTATACATTGCAGTTTTAAAAACCTCAAGCCTTGTAAAAGAATACCATTGTAACTCCTTCACAACTCTCTCTTGATTCCTTTATATGCATCATATTGGGCTGCTGTTCCTCTCGGGAGGAAGCCACATTTTGCATCCTTCTCTGATCTAATTACTTTGCATACAAAAAACCCCGATTTGAGTCAACCACTCAAAATTAGAAAATGTGAGAATTAAGGTAACCGTGAAGCCTTCCTGCAGACTACTGTGACTATAGATGACAGCTTTTAATTATGTGACCCCATACTTTTCTCCCCTTCGGCAGTTCCCGAGGGAGTGAGTAGACTTGTCAGGTAAGCAATTAAGTAATCCAAATGCTAGCATTTTTGGATCATTTTCACAATAAAGAAGAATATTACTCAATAGCAAGATCACTCAAATGTAAAAGTGTTTCATGTAGGCCTTTAGCAAGGAACAAGTTTATCTTGTGTGCAATCCCTGAAATCGAGAGGGTGTAATTTTATGGTGTTATGCTGCAATTAAAACGCCGTTGACTTACAGAGAATGTAACCTTTTCATTTGCAGAGGAAATCCCATATTTTACGTCTGGTTTTGTGGCATATATTTGTTTGGATTCACAGCACCACCTGATGGCTGAAGGCTCATTTCTTAGGTCGGGGATGCTGTGCATCCCTTGAATTCAATTTCTGTTAGAAATGAAAGCAAGGACGTACACTGATGCCATTTCTGTGTTCTGCGGGGCACAAGGAATGCTGACTGTAATGCACGGCGAGTTCCTCTAACTCTTTGTGTCTCTGCCTTGGAATATTAAAATGAATATTTTAATTTAGGCTCCTTGAACAAGGTTTCAAAAAAAGATTCAAGTTACTCATAATGCCTTCCAGGGAGTTATCTAAAGAGATAAAAAACCTAGATATGTTCTGTGGAAATTTCCTTTGGTAACGTGGTGGACCCCGAAGGTTTGACCAAGCCTGTAAGCTCATGTTAGTGCCAGTGAATACCTGTGGCGGCGGGGGCG